TTATAAAAAATAATAAGATTAAAAATGATTAAAAAAAAATAAAAACGTAAACGATAAGATAAATAATAATTTAAAAAAGTCAAAAAATAAATACAAAAAAAGTGAGAAAACCTGGCCTTGGGGCAGCAGGGAGAGTAAATCCGGCCATGTACAACACCATGTAATATTCCCGAGCTCACTCATACCCCCCGCCCCCTTATTCTAAATCCGGTGTCCTGTTTATAAGTTGGGACGTCGCATTGTGAAGGGTAACGGACGGATTTTGCAGCTTTATTATATTTTCTGGATAAACAAAAAAAACACAGAAGAAGAAGAATTCTCCGATATAAAAAGATTTCTGTACAAAGGCAGCAAAACACAAACCCTCCTGAAGGCCGATCTCTGATATTATCCAATCACATGAGACTCAGCGCACAACAACAACAACACATCTATTTACAAACACCGACCACCGGCCCTATGACGTCATAGGAATGGAAGTCTCAGCAAAGTGACCTCACTTCTCAACTCCAATCACACACAGGGGGGGGGCTGACACCTCCACCCAGAACTCGGCCTCCTGGGGGGAGAGGAAGGGAAATCCAGCCGGGTGAGTCACCCCAATCCGAGCACGTGTCCTGTTATCACCCCAATACAGGGTAATAGTAGAGTCACAGACACATGGCAGGATCACACCCACTGATACCCCCAGCCGCCTGAATCTGCCCCCCTCCTGTCATTCCAATACAGGGTCATTATGGCTGAAGAGCCCCAACCACAACCCACAGACAATGTCCTACCAACAGCCCTAATATGCCCCCCTGGTCCCTGGCCTGCCCCTTACTCTCAGATCTACCCCTCTGCCCCCTTACACCCAGATCTACTATTCTGCCCTCTGCTCTGCCTATTTACACCCAGATCTACCCCTCTGCTCTGCCTATTTACACCCAGATCTACCCCTCTGCCCCCCGATCTGCCCCTTTTCTCTCAGCTCTACCCCTCTGCCCCTTTACACCCAGATCTACCCCTCTGCCCCCTGCTCTTTCCCCTTTTACAACCAGATCTCCCCCTCTGCCCCTTTACACCCATATCTACCCCTCTGCCCCCCGATCTGCCCCTTTACACTCAGATCTCCCCCTCTGCCCCTTTACACCCATATCTACCCCTCTGCCCCCCGATCTGCCCCTTTACACTCAGATCTCCCCCTCTGCCCATTTACACCCAGAACTATCCCTCTGCCCCCCGATCTGCCCCTTTTCTCTCAGCTCTACCCCTCTGCCCCTTTACACCCAGATCTACCCCTCTGCCCCTTTACACTCAGATCTCCTCCCCTCTGCCCCCCGATCTGCCCTTTTCTCTCAGATCTACCCCTCTGCCCCCCGATCTGCCCTTTTCTCTCAGATCTACCCCTCTGCCCCGATCTCTCACCGTTGGTGGCAGCAGACATCTCGATGAGGGTCTCATCCTCCTTCTTCCCGGAGAACGGCTACCCTGTATACCGATCACTGTATATACCGCCCTGTATACCGATCACTGTATATACAGGAGTATATGGATACAATGTAACATTATCAATACAACATGGTACTGCACAAGGAGAGAGAGCAGCAGTGAGCGGTCTTTATTACAGGAGGGGGCGGAGACAAGACCAATCACCCTGCACAAGGAGAGAGCAGCAGTGAGCGGTCTTTATTACAGGAGGGGGCGGAGACAAGACCAATCACCCTGCACAAGGAGAGAGATCAGCAGTGGGCGGTCTTTATTACAGGAGGGGGCGGAGACAAGACCAGTCCCCAGAACTCAAAACAGTGAATCTCCTTGTAAAATTCCATTGTTTTATTGGAGCCCTGGCACTGGCTGTGATGATCAGTGGAGTGGTATATATATATATCTTAGATGCCACGAGTCCCTCATCCAGTCCCGGGAATGCTTCGTCAGTCTTCAGCTTATCAGGGAGGGTGCAGGAGGTCACCACTGTCAGTGACAAGTCACTTCCTCTGCACAAAATAGAACAAAGTTCCTCAGTTTCAGTTTTCGTTCCTCTAATAGAAATGCTGGTGAAGATAGAAGGACATTCTAGGTGATCTAGGGGTTGCGGGTTGCCCGGGTCTGGTGGCCCGGGAGGGC